TTTGATAGAAAACAGTTAAATGGCTTTAAATTTTTCTATGGTTTCAGCAGGGGGCAGTAGATTTCCTCTTAATGAATTCTACCTTTTGGGCTGTTACCTCTTAATCTATGCGTTGTGAAAGGTTGCCTAGAACGGAGAATTAAGCAATTTGAAGTGAGAGCAAGTCGTTGTTAAAGGTTGTTTAAAATAATTTTTAAAGTATTGTGATATTAGACCATCATAGCCCAGGATCTTGCAAAAATTCCTCTAGTTTCTATTGGTAGTAAGCCAAATGAAGAAAATGAGAAGCCAGGAACAGTAATATACTTCCAAATTATTTCTGCTGGTAGCTTTAAAAAAAAAAAGGATTTATTTTTCTGTACATCTAACATTATAAATATGGGGTTTTTTTAATCTTTAAATTGGACTATCCATTGGTTATTGTAATTATTAGACTTTAATGAATACGAGAATTTGTCACCTTTTTCCTGTCAAGAATGTCTGCACTCAAGAATTGCCTAGCTATAGCAGAGTGTGAGAAATGTATCTAAAATTACTATAGAGCATGCTCAGTACAGGTTTTCTTACATTTGTTTTAAAGTTGATCAGTTTTATCTGTCAGCATAATCTCAGACTCTATCGTGTTGTGCCAGCAAGCTGTGAGCTTGGAAGCAAATGAAAGTATTTCCCTGAAGGGAGCAGTTCTTGACCTGGTATTGCTCCTGCTGCATATCCCGTGCCGCCGTGGTACAACTGGAAGGCAAAAACTGCTGGCAAATAAAGTCTGGAAGTGGTGGAGAACCTGTCCTGGCTGTAGGTGGAAGGTCTGCAACTGCACCAACTCTGAGCAAAAGTGCCAGCTCAACTTTCAGACCTCACTCCTTCAACCTCATTACTTCGGTTTAAGCATTTGAAATAGGAGAAGAAGGGGATTTTCCTGTCAAGGGCTGTGGTTAGGGTTTCCCGTTTGATTTGCCTTTCTATTTTCCACATGTGCTTGAAGTCAGAGTTCTGTGCTTAATGGTGTTGGAGGATGACTGCCTGTATTTTGAATTCTCAGCGCTGCAGAAATAGCTGTCTCATGTTTTGGGGAGTGTAGTTTTTACCTCATGACCATTATAGAAGCCGTGTTCTGGTGAACATATGCTAGTTTGCAAATGGTTTAGCATATCACTGGAGGAATGTGACCTTAGGGAAGAGAACAGCAGGGTTCGTGGGGACTGGGCTTCCTAGCTCCTCAGGAGTCGTGCAGCAAAACAGCGTTTTACAGTGCTTGTCCTGGATGCCCTGTGGTGCAGGCTTTTCATAAGGATATGGTAGCTTTAAGATTGTGTTTTGCATAGTGTGGGCAAAGGACCTGAATTGATGATTTATTTTCCCAGATTTTTCATTATGTAGCAGATCAGGCATTAGTCTCTGATTCTGTTGTTCAAAATGTCATGTAATCAGGCTTTTCTGTCCATAAAGAATCAAAATCCTTATAATCAGATATTTTTTCCATTAGGTAGTCAAGAACTGATCAAACTTTGATATGCTTTTACTTTAAATGGATCATCAAACCCTGAGAAATGAAATCAAATACATAAGCACTGATAAGTAACTTAGGTTATTTTCTTCCACTATGTATTTTTCACATTGTTCACTGAAAGTCAGACAGGTATATATAAAGAGAGAAGAATTGAGCATTTTTATTATTTTTTTTTCTTCCCATAAAGCCAGGACATAAATACCAGATTGGCAAATCTGAGTTTTTTGTGGTTATAATCAACTTTCCTAAATGCAGTTTGAACAGTCCTGATGATAGTTTCCTCTGCATTTGCCAAACTTCTATTCTGTTATACTTGCATGTGTTTAATCCTTGTGGAGAAAAATAAGTGAATCAACATAAAACTTCCGAGGTTCTATGTTTTTATAAGCTAGGAAAGACCATTGGTCACGTTAGGAAGTTCTTAATAAAACTCACTTGTTTGTCTAAAGTTATGTGAGGTACCTTTAATGAAGGATTGACTCCTGTTAGCCACACAGTATTTTTGGAGTAACGCAGCTTTGAGAGGGATCAGTCTGAAATTCTTCTATTTAAATAGCTATTTGTATAAAACTGCTTTAATACATTTTAAGTGACGCGCTATGCATCATTGGTGAAATGGGCTCCAAATGCTTCCGTTGAAGGATCATTAAATTAAAGTCAAATCATACACAGAATTACAAGGCAGGTGGGCTCTGGCAAATCAAATTCACCTAAATTCTAACATGCTGTGTTGGGGTTTGGATTTTTTTTTTTTTTTTAATATAAAACATTTACAAGCCCTGCGGTGATCATTTTGAAGATAAGTTAAATAGTAATTAATTGCACTGTGGAATTGAACCTTCCATCATCCTTACTGTGTCTTTGTGGATACTTTACAGTGCAGGGTAAATATTATTACTGCAAACATTAGAAATCGTTTGGAACTCCCACAGTGAGCCACTGTAATTATTTTGGCTTAAAGGTATCTAATATATGTTCACAGCATATGTAGTTTTAAAGAAATACAGTAAAGGCAAGCACTGTTAAATGGAGGGTAGAGGACTGAGATTCTATTTTTATATTTAGTTTTGGAAAGATGTATTGATTTGAATATCTAGTCCTGACACATCTTCAGCATGGACTCCATGGGGGTTTGTAAGTACCTGTCCGTGTAGACTGGACTCCAGACCAAGATGTGTGTCTCTAGCCGAAAAATGGCTTTGGTTCATCTCCGCCTCTTGCGCTGATATTGCTGTTTTCAGTTTGTGTGGCATGCCTGATGGAGCTGAGCGAATATGTCACATTTTTGTAGACATTTCATGAAAATAGTGCAGGTGGGATTCTTTCTTCTTTAAAACTTAAATAGATGGAAGTAGCAGAAGGATTTTGTAGTGTCTTGTTTACTTAAATGGAAAATATTAGAAAAATTTGCAAAACTTCTCCAAGATTTGAAACTTGTCTGCTGCAGTGGATTCTCTGCTGCTCCCAAAATTGGTTGCAATGCCCCTTTATTAAATCACTTGATTTAATTAGCACATAGTAGAAAATAAATGATTACTGTATAATGTTGCGTGTTGTGGGAGTAGCCATTTCTTTGGACAGTGTAAGAGCTCAGTCTGTCTGTCAAGATACGTTTGTCTTTGAGTGTCTGTGGCTCATAAGGATGTTGATTTTTCTCCTCCCCCCATCACCTACTCAGTCAGTTCAGAACGAGTAGCTGCTCGACCCCTAAGTGAGGGATGAAATATTTGCTTGTACTTCTCTTTTTACCTGCTTTCTTGGCTGATTTGCTCCAGCTTATAAAAACTAGTAGGACTTCCTTTCTTTGAAATAAATTACAAATTTTTGAAGCCTCTGAACATCAATTTGCTGAGTACTTTGTAGCCATTAGATTTTGTGCACAGTATTTCTTCCTTGAGATTTGAGTCGAAGACATTGTGCTGAGATCTCTGGGATCACAATGCTTGACGTGTGATCTTTAGCAGTGATCAGGTTTACGTAGGGGAAATTTCCAAGGTGAAAGCTATGAGGTTTCAATCCATACCATGTTCAGTATCAGCTCAGTGTTCTGCTCGCACTTGTTTCTGGAATACAGCATTGATTCGTGGTGTACAGGATGCTGGACCATGGTGTACAACAGCTGGACCAATGAATCTTGGTTTTGTCTTCATTACATTATAGCATGCTTTCAACTGACACTTTAGACAAGATAAGAAAAAGGTAATATTTGAATAATAGCATTCTGAATACTACTTTTTCATTTCTTTTTTAGCAAGAAACGTGCTTCAGAACTTGTGGTACAGATTTTGAAGGTCACTGACGCACTTCTGCAAATTAGTTATTGCCCAGTTCCAGGTAGTGTCATGCATATAAGAACATTAAAATGGATTTTTTTGTTTCTCCTTGTATTTTGTGTCATAACAATATTGTACGTAACTTTTTCTTCCAACACTGTGATTGAGCATACAAACCTCATGTATTTCTATGAATATGAACCAATTTACAAGCAACACTACCTCTTCACACTGCGGGAGCGCTTGAAATGCAAAGACATAAATCCGTTTCTCGTCATCTTGGTGTCTTCAAGTCCTAAGGATGTGAAGTCAAGGCAGGCCATCAGGATAACATGGGGATCTCAAAACTTCTGGTGGGGACATCGAATTCTGACCCTGTTCTTACTAGGTCAGGACACTCAAAGAGAAGACAATGCCGCAGCACTGTCGGTAGAAGATGAAAGCATCCTCTATGGTGACATAATTCGCCAAGATTTTATGGACACGTACGACAATCTCACCTTGAAAACGATCATGGCGTTTAGGTGGGTCACTGAGTTCTGTTCAAATGCGAGATTCCTCATGAAGACTGATGCTGATGTCTTCATCAACACCGCTAACTTGGTAAAATTTCTTCTGAAGCTGAATTCCTCAGAAAATATTTTTACTGGTTATCCTCTTATAGGTAACTTTGCCTACAGAGGCTTTTACAAAAAAACATACATCTCTTATGATGAATATCCGTTCAAGTTGTATCCTCCATATTGCAGTGGGATGGGTTATATATTGGATGGAAAACTGGCTCTGAGGATTTATGAACTGATGAGTCATATCAAACCTATTAAATTTGAGGATGTTTATGTTGGAATTTGCTTAAATATACTTAAAGTGAACATCAGTATTCCAGAAGATAAACAACAATTCTTTCTTTATAAAATTAATTTTGATATCTGTAAGTATAGACATTTGATTGCAGTACATGGCATTACATCAGGTGAAATAATCGGGTTTTGGCAGGATTTGTCATCAGACACTTCAGTTACTTGCCTTTGATTCTATATTAATATATAAACTTAAACCTATTTGGTGTAAAAACGTTTAAAGTATAGGGCAACACAAAAGAAAAACAGTTACAGAGATGACTTCGACTGAAGGAGGGCTGTGCTGCTGGGGCAAAACTGCAGTGGCAGCTTTTCTCTGGGACATTCTAATATTCTTAAATAAAAATATTAGGCATTCACAAAACACTTTTCCATCTATGTATCCTACTCATGCAGGATACTTGGGAATACACTGTCCTGTCTTCCTCTGACACTTCCACGTGGTCTGCTGTAACCACGGGATTTCTACCCGAGTCTTCTGGAATGTATGAAATGTCACCGAGGAATAATGTTTATGCCAAGAAACCAGCTTTGAAGATGCTTCCCAAATTCCTACCTGGAATTTTTAAATTGTTTTTGCAACTGTGTCATCCTTTGCCGCTCTCATTTGTTCTTTGCCCAGCATGAAACTAATAACAACCTTCTTCTTTCAATATATCACCTCTGTAATCCTTCTGAGAGTGTTACACCTTCTTATTTAAACATACCACCTCTGTAATCATTCTGAGAGTGTTACAAGGCTGTGGATGTTGTGGGGTCCACAGAAGCTGATGGGAAATTCTGAAAACGTGATGCACTTTGTATGTGTATATTTAGGTATATCTATATACGTATAAAATAGAATTGCTTTGGTGTCTTTGATAATGTTCACAGGCTACTAGAGGGCTAGATGCAGCAGAGTTCATGTGCAGTTTAGTTACTAGACATCTCTAATACATCGGGATAATCAAAACCCACATCTATGCACACATATGTGTGTACTGATGCATCCCGAGAGTTTTGGAACCACACAGGGACGATTAGAACAGATGCATTTATGTTGTGACTTTATATCTGTTTCTAAAATAGTTTTCTTTCTTCAAATTTTCAAATGAAAAAAGTAAGAAATTCTAAGATTTGTATTTCTTAAAGAAGACAAACTCTACTATATCTGTAAAGATGGATATTTTAATCACTTTATTCATACCAGCAAGGCCAAGTTTTCAGTAGTTTACACTTCTAATAGACAACAATATAGAATTTGCAATTGCATTAACATAATTATTCTTGACACATCCACTACACGGTGAAGATACTATAGTTACATCCTGTACATCTAGAATGACAGAGCACTGCCACCTTATTTGTACTACAGCTAAGATGTTATGATATATTTACATTTGGCTGTCTTTCAGATAGTCTCTTAGAGACAAATTAGAAGAGGTGCAGAAACCTCTAGTACCAGGTTGGAGGTTTCACCAGGTTTTTTGTTACATTGTGATTATGGTCAGTATTGAATTTTGCTATCTTTTCAACAACTGCACGTTTTTTTGAAAGAATTATAGCACGTGGGGTTTTTTAGGTATAAAAATGAGGTCTTGGGAGTAATACTCTCTAGACAAGTATTTCAGAAGTCAGTGTTCTAAGAATGTATGTTAAGAAGGTCAAAGGCTTTCAAAAATAGATTTTGTTTGTTAAACTAAATAGCTAAAGATACAGTATTGCATAACTGAGGGAAGAATGCTATTGTATTTCTAGAAACAAAGGTAAAACTACAGCTGTTCCTATGGTTTTAGGATCTGTTATTTGATTGTTGTACTGTGGTCAGATCCCGAGAGCTCTGTGAGAAGCGTTTAACTTGTTCTTTGATTGTTTATACATCTTAAAAAAAAAAACCAACAAAAAACCCTCCATATTTTTCTTATAAGCCTGCCATGTTAAATGTTTAGAAATAAGTTATTTGTCACAAGAACACTGATACTACAGCACAGTTTGTATTGCTTTTTCAAAAAAATGTAATTATGAAAGACGATGCAATCTTCAGAAACTGGATAGATAAAGCAGACAGTGCTCCTGTTGAGAGAGTAAGAAACAAGTATATCACAGAGAAATGGCTGTGCAGGACTGCAATAAAAATGCAACTGCCACCAAGCAAGGTATTTTTTTATATTTGTGCCCCAGAATGACAACACTGATCATAGATTACAGGCTTTTGCTTTCACAAATGTAGGTTTATACACAGTGATCTGTTTATGCCACCTGAAATTGTAATCTAAAGTGACATCAATTTTGCAAGAAATTTACATTGTAAAATATTCCTGCTCCTGTTTTGGAAATGAGTTTGTTTTTTTTTAAATCTGGTTTGTATTTGGGTCTGACCTTATTATTGCTTAAAAGACCATAAAAATTCATAACTAAGCTAAAGTTTCTGCTTAATGCAAATATCAGGAACATTTCTAGTGTGAGCAGCCATGCAAGAGGTAAAGAAAGCTCCAGACTCTGAACTAATGAAAGCATTTAAGTCAGCGGTGGGCCCAAACTTTATTGCATCTGCCTACAATATTGTACTAAAACTGAAGCCTAAACCACAGGCTAAGATTTTCCCAAATGCTAAGATTCTTTTTCTCATGCAGGTAAGTGGTTCAGAAAGCTGTATTAAATCAGAATTCAAGCACTTGTGATTTTGATAATTGTGGAGCTTTCTGACTTGAAAAGCCTAATAGTAATCCATTGGTCAAAGATGTTTGGAAACTGCTGCAGGGTGGATAGCAAAAGGGGTTTACAGTGTAAAATTTCAAGCCCGTGTTGCCTGTGTACTATTTCAGAAGAGTTAAAAAATCAAAATGCTTAAATGTTTTGTGTGCATTCTAGAACAAAAAAATTCAAAATAAACCATGCAATAGTATGTGCTGCAAACTTAGGGGCATTATTCTCTATGATCAGTTCAGGATTAACAGGACATAGACGGTTTGGAATATTTTCCTAAGTTTTGTCTTACATTTTCTAGTTACTACTAAAGCATTTCAATGCAAGTTCATTGTAACTCAGTCACGAATGCCTGGATGCACAGTAAATAATGGATTTTTATCATAGTTCTTTCAAATTTAAACTAGAAACTGATGGAAGGTTAACCAAACAGTGTGACACCGAGTTCCTGAGAAGTGTCTATTGGTTATGTCAGGTATCTTGAAGGAGTTTGGGAGGCAGAGCTTTGCTCCCTATTTTTCAAATTTTCATTCATCTCCATTTTTATGACTAGCGTGTACCATTTTGATAATTTATTAAGTACTCCACAGTTTGCTTAAGATAGAGGTGGTAGGGAGAGAGCTGTAAAGCTTTCTGCAGTTTCTGTTAAATTAAGCTTGTCAGGTTTTAATGCAGTTACTGTGTATTGCATGTTAAGCTGTAAACCACATCCAAATGCAAGTACTTCATGTAGGAAGGAAAGAAAACAAAGTTAAAATGAAGCTAAGCAGATGGTTGGGTTTATTTATTTCCCCTGCCCCCCGTATGTAGTTGAGTCCACATTTTAAGGAAAACTAAAATTGTAAAACAAAACCAAACCCACCCCCCTCTATTTACATACTGGGTTTCTAAAAATCACAAAGCCGCTTTCTTTCACAGGACTAAAGAAAGTATAGCCTCTGAAATGCTGCTGTTACGTGATTCTTAGCTAAAAGCAGCATCGACCTACAACTCATATGAGGAAATACCACCTGTGCGGCTGTTACCTGTTACGTGATTCTTAGCTAAAAGCAGCATCGACCTACAACTCATATGACCACCTGTGCTACAGTATAGTTTGTCTCACCTGCAGTTACAGGATTTGGGGACTTAGTTTTCCTCCTATAACATAAGAACTTAAAAATACAAAGTTTACCCCAAACGACCTCTCTTGACATGGTTTATATATCTGAGCTCTGTTTTCCTCTAGCCTTCTGACAGTTGCTGTGCAGCACGTTAATTTTCCAGGCCACATTAATCCGAATTATCTGAATGAGTTTTCTTTACAGTGTGAGAGACGATGGCGTGTAGGGGTTGCGTCCATCCCAAGTGGGATGGGGCTCAGCCTGACGTCCTAGCCGCTCCTGTCAGTAATGCTTTGCCTGCGGTGGTCCTCCACCTAGGAGTAAAGTGCAGCCTCCCCTGAACTTGCAATAAAGATAAAATCTTAAAAACTCTTCCGGCTCCGAGTGAAGAAAATGTTACAAGCAGAAGCCTGAAGAGGCTCTTATCTACGATAACACAGCCGTGTTGTACTAAATGAAAGCTGTCTTTAACCAAGATGGATTGCTTAAACATTGTGGTTCTGTTATCTTGTGTGTTGTGTAGGATTTTTGTTAATAAAGCTCCGGCCTGCCCTCGCAGAGTTCTAAATGTGTGGTTCATTTTCATAATGAGTCTGTCTCGATCGTTTCTTAGCATTTCCAGATGCACTGGGTAGAAGTGGTTTTACAGTTGCTTAGTGTAATATTCACACAGTACGGGTTTTAATGTTGTTTTTCCACATGCTGCTCCTGTTAACTTTGTAGTAACAGTTACGCGATTGTTAGTTTGCCATGTTAAAGGTAGATGGGTTTGAAATCTATAAAAAAAAAATGGATTTCATTTGTAAATCCAGCATTACTAACCACTGCTTACGTTTTGTACCTAGCTTCTGCATATAGGAACAGTTTACCAAAGAGCAGTGTCGAGATTTGGTACAGAATGGAACTAACTCCAAAGAACTTTTTCCAAATGAACCATGTTTTTAACATAACTAAGTTTTTTCTTACCAGAAGGAGAAAATTTAAAAATGGCAGATGGACTGTGGCAGTTCTGGAGTGAGAGTCTCCTGTCATCAACAACAGGTGAAGCTGACAGAGTGCATCTGCAGAGGCACAGCAGCAACCTCACTCGACATGTAGCCAGCTTGCTTTCCTGGGGCAGGGGCAGCATGGGGATGCCGAGCAGGTATCTGACTGTCAGCCCACACAGCTTGACTTCATGACTTGTTATTACCAAGATTAAAGCGGACAAAGTACAGTTTCATCTGTACTGCTCTCACACCCCTGAATACAGTGTAGGAATTCCCAGAGAGCAATGTTTGACAGCCCCGCATTTAGATTTCTAAAATAATCGGTTATAACCGATTATTCATTTAATTAACTTGGTGGAATAGAGGCTGAAGTACATTTCTGAGCATTTGTGTCCCTAGAAGTACTGATGCACCTCCACAGGCTTAAAGGAACACAGGGTTGGTCTTTTAAATGCAGAAAAAGTGCTTTATTTCCCTACTGCTCAACTAATTCGGAGCTCTTCCTTAAGACTGAGCAGACCAGACACAGGAGCTGACCTACTCATAAAAGTGGATTTCAAAACTTTACTCAAGAATTGCTTTTGATGTGAGCCTCTTTATTTATGGTTTTAGATAGGCTTCAGCTGCTTTGACTGCACACGTTTTGCTTAACAGAGCATCTAGACTATTATATATAACTAGAGATGACCGATACCTGGACCTTTAAGTTATCTAAGGGAAAACTATATGTAAAACAGCTGCTTACCTAAGCCTTATATAGTCAGCACTATATAAATAAAAGTGATTTAAAATTCAAATCGACGTTAATTGTATATATCTTTTTAGAGATGAGTCCTCAGGTTTAGAAAGATAATTTATAAATATATTGACAACACTGAGGGGCAGCAGCTCTGGTCTATACAGTTGCCAAACTTCAGCGGAACATTCTAAATTTTAACCTTGCAATTTTGTACAGCCAGATTTCTGGATGGAGGCCTAAAAACCTACTTTAGAAAATGAAAGGCTGGTGTGGGTTTTTCTTCTTTAGTATAATCACTTACTAAATGTTTCTCTGTGTAAAATGAGCATTAGATACATTAGGAATATATTAACATTACTTAAAGCAAGGATGGCATATATTCTGAGAGGCAGCTGAACAACAAAACTCCCTTATTTTCAAGATGCAGCGTTAGTGTTTATGTAGCAAACACTGTTACTTCAAGCTGATGCAGTGCTTTAGTACTAACTTCTGTATTCTAAAAAGTCACAACTACTTTTTTTGTTTTAATTTTACGTAAATTGTGT